TACTACTACTACCACTCGTACTACTACTGCTACTGCTAGCACTACTGCAACTACTACTTTTATTACGGCTACGATTAGTTCTACGACGGCTATTGATACTACTATTATTGTTACTGCTACTGCTACTACTACCACGACCACCACCACCACCACTACTACTACCACGACCACCACCACCACCACCACTACTACTACTACTACTACTACCACTACTACTACGACTACTACTACTACTACTACTACTACTACTACTACTGCTACTGCTACTACTACTACTATTAATACTACTAGAACTAGTGATACTACTGGTATTACTACTACTACTACTACTACTACTATTATTACTACTACTACTACTACTACTACTGGCCACTACTACTACTACTACTACTACTACTACTACTACCACTACTGCTACTACTACGACTACTACTACTACGACGACGACGACGCTACTACTACTACTACTGCTACTACTATACTCACTACCACACCACCACCACCACCACCACCACCACCACCACCACCACCACCACCACACACCACTACTACTACTACTACTACTACTACTTACTACTACTACTACGACTACTACTACTACTAGTGTACTAGTAGTACTAGACTAGTACTATACTAGTACTAGTTACTAGTACTAGTCTAGTACTAGTACTAGTACTAGTACTAGTACTAGTACTAGTCTACTATTACTACCACTGCTACTACTACTACTATACTACTACTACTACTACAACAACTATACTACTACTACTACCACTACTACCACTACTACTACTACTACTACTACTACTACTACTACTACTACTACTACTACGACTACTACTACTACTACTACTACTACTACTATTACTACTATTACTATTACTACGACTTCTACGACTCTACGACTTACGACGACGACGACGACGACGACGACGACGACGACGACGACGACGACGACGACGACGACGACGACGACGACGACGACGACGACGACGACGACGACGACGACGACGACGACGACTACTACTACTACAACTACTACTACTACTACTACTACTACTGCCATTACTCCTACTTCTACTAAGTTTGCTAGTACTTGTGTTATCACCGTCGGGACCAGTGCAAACATCATCGCCGTCACCGACAACACCGCCATCACCACCCAACTTCTGAGCTGAATCGCAAGAAAGGTTGCGGATGGGCACGGTCGAATGTGGCCCGATGTTCCTTGCCAGAGCGCTCAACAATACTACAGATCCTTCCGTGTATTGTCTTGCATTTACGCGGTCTTGATCATCGTCGCCATGTGATTAGGAACAAATTGGGTACGTCCACCTGCGCGGTCCTGATTATAACCGCCATGCGTTTCGGAACAAGTTGGGTACGCCTCTGGGTTGGAGGCGGCCTGGGGGCCTGAGCTGGTTGGGGCCCTGGAGCATCGGTCAGGAAAAGGGGGATGCAGCCACATCCGTTCAAAAACGCTCCCTGGACTCTCCTGGGGTCCAAATGGGTCAATCTTTTACCGGCATCATGGGCGCAACGCACAGAGCATCGCGACGGCGATTAGCTGCAAATGAATTAACCACGTGTGGGGGCCGTTTGCCGCCCCGCGCAACACTGACACACTTCGTGACACGGCGCGCAGCCCGAGAATTACTCAATTTGTGGTCGCCGCTGCGGAGCGTACCCGCACTCTTGCCTAGCGGATGGTGCATCGTGCGCGGTGCTGCACTCGAGCGCTCGCGTGCAGACCTTCGTGCCCTACAGAGGAAAAAAGGGGGGAGGGAACGCAGCCCAACTAGTGGAATGAACGACGGAGCAAATAACACTAAAGATGGAAAGCTGGCGTCAATGCAGAAATCCTTCCCTCAGCCAAACTCACTCTGCGAAGTCCTCAAACAGGTCGAGAAGCCTTTCTGGTGGCCACTCACCGTACCAATAATCGTGGGCACTCGTGAGAATTTGCGCGTATTCGATGGCCTCGCAGCTGGCGGTATTGATGCGCGCGCTCTTCGTGATGGCCTCGTAGATGCTTGGAGGGAGCTCGTATTTGTGAGCCAGATCCTCGCGTGAGGACAATCGGTGCCAAACAAGAGCGAGCGGCGTACTCGACGGGCGCCCCCCCTTTGTGCCATTCTCGTCGGCGTCGTTCTCCGTCATGTTGCTGACGTGATTGTCGATGATGTTCGCCTGCGCCTTCTTTGCCTGCGTCTCGGTCCGGGTGTCTTACGTGCGCGCTGCTACGCGCGAGAGGGTACCGCAAGTCACATGTGCACATGGTTGAGCACGAGTGCGCAAGGCTTCAGGCGTAGCGAGGTGAACGGCAAGATACCAGTGTCTCTGACTGCAGTGAGTCAGTTAAAGAAGATCTGAATTGCGGAGGTATGGTACGGCAGGGATGTAAGGGCCCACCTCTTCCTCTAAGGCCTTCTCGATGAGCTGCTCGGTGATGTCAATGGTGTCGTTCATGTGGTAGGGCACGTGAGCGCCACACCATGGCGCCGCAAGCGTGTCCATGATAGGCTTCTCGGAATGAGTTCCCTCAGCGCGTGCAGCGCAAGGCCTGGAGGTGTCCCGAATGTGGCTCCCCATCGCGCGGCCCGTAGATGAGCACGGTGTCGGTGCCGTTGGGCACGTGAGCGCCACACATGGGCGCCGCAGGCATGTCCTTCGTCAGGTCGCTCATCACGGTGTGCGGAATCCTCTTCGCCCCGCGGGGCTCGCTCGACGGCGCGAGGAACACAGGAGCACACAACCATGGGAGGCAATAGATTCGGTGGTATTCCGCAACGGGATGTGCGGGTGGATGTGGGGAGGGTGCGAGGCCGATCGCACGATTCGGTTCGAGCCGACGATGGCTTTTGGTACAATTTTTCAAGCCAGATCTGTTTTTCAGCCCCGGGGCCCGAAAGCAGTCCCGGGAGGTCGAAACACACAATTACCTTGGCGACATACCCAACCCATGCGCAATGCGGGGCATGAGTAGCTTGGGAGATTTGACGAGAAGGCGGCGACGTGACATGGACGCATACCTCTGCGAGCGGCATTCGGAAGGTTCGCAGGCCCCCAACCAAGGGAAACACGATGTGAACCCCTGAGTCACTAAGAAAAACGCAAGGTCCAAATGGAGACGGTGGGGAAAGGGCTTGAAACGTCGGCGGGGCAGCAACAACATGATATGGACCCCCAAAGACGGCGAGGCTCCGCTCAGATCTGCGCAGTGCCTCACTCCGCTGGACCCACCAGCAGCGTTCGAAAGTGGCGAGCCCACCAGCAGCCCTCGAAAGTGGCGACAATTTCGCAG